CGGGGTTTTTGCTTCGGGGTGTGGCTGTGCAGTTTTGAGACAGGAGGAAGCCCTTGCGAAGCCGTGCAGAGCCTGAGTAGCCAAGCCGTGTCTGCTTGCAGTTCCTTAGTTTTTGGGTTTTGCTTCGTCTCCTCTGCACAGGTGCAAAAGGGGACGGTCTTGACGAAGGAGGAGTGGACGGACTTGTGGCAGGGCCGTCTCACGAGCTTCTTCAAGCAGGCCGGAGGCAAAGGACGGGGTCGTGCGGCAAACAAAGAAACGGGAGGCACGAAGCAGCCTGAGAGGCTTGCCACCCAGACCTGGTTGAGGGACGTCTCTCACAGTCTCCAGACGATCGGCTTTAGCTGGTCCTGCTTTGCTCGTCGTTCGGAGACAGCCGCAGCAGGAAGGCCTCTCGTCATGGTCCTCTGCACGGACCAGGAGGCCACCCAGTTGGCGGCCGTGAGCTACCTGAAGTTTGGCCGTTCGCTCTTCGTCGAACTCGTCAACGACCCGGCCCACAGGTCCCACAACGACGTCCACCTGGCACTCGCAGCGTCAGGTCTCTTGACGTTCGGACTCATGTCGTTCGGGTTGTACAATGTTCGGTATGGCCCATGGAACAAGGGCACGTGGTTCGGGAAGGTCCAGCAGACGGCGGACGAGATGGCTCAGTCCATGAGCCCCTCGGACCCTCTGCTGGTCACCTTCTTCCCGGACATTCTGGCAGACGAGGGCCGTTCGCAGGAGGAGAACACCGTCGAGAACCGTCGCTTGTTTCTGGAGTCGCTGCCCAACAGGTCGTTCGTTCGAGCCAAAGGAACGAAGGCTTCTCCCTCGCGGTTCAACAGCTTGTCGATCGCCCATGCGGAGCTCGACCCGGACTGGTCAGCCTTTTGCCTCGTCCTCGCCGTTCTGTGCATCAACGAGGGCTGGTGCAAGAAAGCGTCGGACTTGTGGTCGCCCGAAGCCCCCGGTGCTTCGGAGCAAGCCGCCACCAGCAGGGCCGCTGCGAAGTCCGCCGCTCGCAAGGCTTTGGCACAGCAGCGAGGCCGTTCGGTGAACACACTGCACTCGATGACGACGTTCGCGTGCAATGCTGACAACAGGTCTCTGGCCAGAACCGTGTTTTTCGTCCTTCAGCCTGAGGCCCTGAGGTGCTCGAAAATGCTGGAGGAGCTGCGGTCTTCCGAGGCGACCGTCAAGTACTTCAGCGAGTGGGCCCATTGGGGCTACATGGCCACTGC